ATGAGAGCGAAGCAACATAGGGCGAAAACGTGGAGGTAGGACGAGCACGAGACGGACGACGAGACCAGACGTGAGACAGAGGAGTCGGGTCAAGAGAGAGGGAGGGAGACACAGGAGGAGAACGGGGAGGGAAACGAGCCGGAGAGGAGTCCGGAGGAGAAAACACGGGGCCGTAGGCAGCCGCAGGAGGAGGTTGTGACGACGGAGGAGGCACCGGCAGGCAGTCAGGGGAAGGAAGACCGAGGAGGCGAAGAGCGAACACCGGCGGCGACTGCTGCGGCTGCTGCCCGACTCCAACACCAGAACATCCAGCAACACCACGGCTCCCTCCAAGAAGCTCTACGCTAGCACCCCCAGAATGGGAACCCGCTCCAACACCCACTCCAGTACGCTCTCCAGCACCCCCAGAATGCACGAACCCCAGCGGCGGTGACGACAGCAGCAGCGGAGGCGGCTGCGGTGGCGACGGGAAAGGAGAGACCGGGGCGGGGAGGGGCCGGGGGGGGGACTTTGCAGAGCCGCGAGAGCCAGCAGACTCCTCACCAGGGGCACCCGACGGAAGAGGGGTGAAGTGAGACACACCATTCGGGGCAGGGAGGGGAGGGGGGGGAGCCGGGGCGACTGGGGGAGGGGGAACTAGGAACAGGGGGGGGGTAACCGGGGGACCACGGTGGGGAAAGCGGTGGTAGAAGGAGACGGACTTGTCAAAGATGACGTCGCGGGAGTGAAAGAGTCGGTGAGACGGCGGGTGGTAGAAGTGCCAGTCGGACGAGTCGGCCTGCACATCCCTTCGTTCTCCAGGAACCTAGTTGGTGTCGGCTGTCTTCATGACCTCGGCGTCACCACTACGTTCCCTGGTCACGAGCGGTACGCTATCTGTACCGAGGCCGCCTCAGGTGCCCCCCTTGCGATGTTCCCCCGGGACCCGGTGCCAGGCCTGTTTACGATAGACACTACTCCCCCCCCCCGGTGGGCATGTCCTCCCCGGGTCCTGCGTCTACCCTGGTCGCTGCGGCTTGCTCGTGTCGGTCGCTCACTTACCCGTCGCTTCTGTGGCACCACCGCCTAGGTCACCACGCTCTCCCGCGTCTGCGTCACATGTCTCAGCACGGTCTTCTCCTAGGTCTCCCTGCGTTGCTCCCTGCCCTCCCTCCCTCGCCTGCGCCGCTGTGCACGCCCTGCGTCGAGGGCCATCTGCGCTGTGCTCCTCACTCCTCCACGCTTTGCCCTGCCACTGCGCCACTCCAGACCCTGCACCTGGATGTCTGGGTCCCAGCCTCCGTCCTTGGGCCGCGTCGAGAGAGCTACTTTCTAGTGCTTGTCGATGACTATACGTGCTACACCACGGTGTTTTTCCTGGAGCGGAAGGCCGACGTGCCTGATGTTCTCATCCCGAGGGTCGTAGTTGCGCGCGTCCATGCGGTCTCCCTGTGCTGTGTCTCCACTCTGACCGTGGTGGCGAGTTTGCCACTGGCCGGCTTGGACAGTTCTGTCGTGCGGGGGTTATCACCCACTCGTACACCCTGCCGAACTCCCCGTAGCAGAATGGGGTCGCTGAGCGACGCATCGGTTTGGTCATGGAGGTGGCTCGTACCTCCATGATCCATGCCGGTGCACCCCATTTTCTGTAGCCATTCACCGTTCGCTACGCCGCTCACCAGCTTAACATGTGGCCGCACTCTCAGCGGCTGCAGGTTTCGCCGACCCATCTATGGACCGGGTTACCTGGTGACGCGTCCGCGTTCCACGTCTGGGGCTGCCTTGCTCACAATCGTGCCACTGACACGGACAAACTCACTGCCCGCACTGTCCCCTGTGTCTTCCTTGGTTTCCCCCTTGACTCGTCTGACTGGCACTTTTACCACTCGCCCTCTCACCGCTTTTTTCACTCACGTCACGTCATTCTTTATGAGTCTGTCTCCTTCTTTCACCACTTTCCTCACCGAGGTCTCCCGGTTTCCCTGCCCCTGTTTCTGGTACCCACTCCCCCAGTAGCCCCCGCTCCCCTCCGTCCCCATCCTGCTCTGTCTCGTGTGTCTCACGTCACTCCCCTCCCATCGGCTGTCCCGGTCGAGGAGTCGGCTGGCTATGGTGGCCCCGCGGCGCAGTTCTTGCCGCCTGTTTCTCCCCCGGTGTCTCCTCCTCTGCCGTCGCAGCAGCAACCGCCGTCGCAGCCACAGCAGCAGCCACCGCCATAGCCGCAGCAGCAGTAGCCATCCGTGGGCTCTGGGGGGTGCGAGCGTTGAAGAGGGTGCTAGTCATAGGGTTACTGTCGTGGCTTGTCCGGCGGTCTCGGGGGTGGCACCGGTGCTAAAGAGGGTTCTCGTTCTGGGGGTTCTGGAGTGGAGCGTTTTGGAGGAAGCCGTGGTGCAGGTGGAGGTTGTGGTGTCGGCGTGGAGCAGCAGCAGCAGCAGCAGTCGTTACCGGTGTCCGCCCTTCGCCCCCTCGGCCTTCCCTCCCGTGACCACCCGCCTGCGCCTCCCCCACGGCCTCCTCCCCTTCCTGTCTACGACCCTGTGTTTCCTCCGCCGGACTCGTCCCCAGCTCATTTCCCCCCTCGTTCTCCTCTTGTTACTCCTCCTGTTTCTCTTGACCCGACGCCCCCGTCCCACTTCCGGTCTCGTTGTCCCTCTCGTGCTCGTCCTGTCTCTCCTCTCCAGCACTCTCACCCGATGTTGCTTCGTTCCCACGCGTCTCGTCCTTCCCTCTTCCCCTCGCCTCCTTCGTCGTCGCTCGTTGTCGCTCCGCATCCTCTGTCTGACTACCTTCGTGCCACTCGTCCTCTTGTTCCTCGGGTCCTTGCCTCCCTCGTTACTGACCCATCTGTTCCTGTCTCGAATCTTGACTCTCTGGTTGCTGCTGTCCCTGACTTCGCATCTACCCATCGCCATGACTACCCCATAGCTCTTGTCTCTAACCCTACCTGCCCTTCGTCCGTCAGGGGTGCTCCTCCCCTTGGCAGTGACGTCCTGGAGGACCGATAGTACGAGCTCGCTTTCCTGTCTGAGGCCGCTCCTCATCTATGCTCCATGCTGCTAGTCCATGAGGGTGACCCAGACACCCTTGATATCCCGACCCCTCGCACTTACGCTGAGGTGACCTCAAGACCCTGGGCCTCTCAGTGGATAGCTGCCATGGACGCGGAGATGGCCTCTTGGAGATTCACCAGCACCTACGTCGACGCAGTTCCCCCACCTGGGACGAATGTAGTCGATGGCCGGTGGCTCTTCAAGGTGAATCGCCCTCCTGGAGAACCGCCGGTGTTCAAGGCGCACTAAGTTGTTAGAGGCTTCAGTCAGCGCGAGTGTGTTGACTTCGTTCAGACCTTCGCCCGGATCCCGAAGATGACTATTCTTCGGGCGGTGCTACATGTGGCAGCACAGTGTGACTACGAGCTTCACTCCCTCGACTTCTCCATAGCATTTCTTCAGGGCAATCTACACGAGCAGGTCTACCTGCGCCGTCCACAAAGCTTCACCTGTACCTTCCCTCCTGGGACCCAATGGCTCCTCCGGTGTCTGGTCTACGACCTGCAGCAGGCGCCCCGTGAGTGGCACGACACGTTGAATGCTACTCTTGCTGACTTGCAGTTTTTCCCGTCGTCTCCAGACCCCTCGCTATTCGTTCGTTCTGGCCAGACCCCGTTCTACATCCTTGTCTACGTAGACAATCTGGTCTTTGCTATTGCAGACAGAGACGCACTAGCCTCCGTGAAGGCTGCGTTGCTGAGGAGACACACCTGCACTAACCTAAGAGAGCTGCACTGCCACCTTGGACTGCATATCTCCAGGGATAGAGCAGCGTGCACCATTTCTCTCACACAGTCACACTTGGTGTGCCAGGTCCTTCAGCGGTTCGGTCTTCAAGTAGACCACAGGCTCTCTGCTCCATTTCCTGAGGAGTCAGTAGAGCCTAGTGGTCCTTACACAGAGCTGGTGGGTTGCCTCATGTACCTGATGACTTGCACTCGTCCAGATCTCGCATATCCTCTCAGCATCCTGGCTCGCTTTGTGGCCACAGGGAGACACCGACCACAGCACTGGTCAGCAGCTAAGAGGGTTTTGCGTTATCTAGCAAGTACATCGGGCATGGGGCTAGTGCTAGGAGGACGCAGACCAGTGGTCCTTACAGGGCACACAGACGCTTCGTGGGCAGACGACGCTGAGACACTCAGGTCCTCCCAGGGCTATTGCTTTAGCTTTGGTTCACGTGCCATCTCGTGGAGGTCCACCCACTCGTCGTCTGTTGCCCAGTCTAGCTGTGAGGCTGAGATCTTCGCCGGTGCCATGGCTGCACAGAAGCTCCGCTGGCTGACCTTCTTGCTCACTGACTTAGGTGAGTGGCCTAGCTCTGCCCCGGTCCTGTATGCTGAGAACAGGGCCATGATCCTCCTGTGTCTGGAGCCTCGACTCGAGGGGAGAGCAAAGCATATTCAGCTGCGGTACTTCCTCTTTGTGCGAGCTACAGCAGCGCCGCTAGGCCCGCATAGTACACGTAGCCTCCGGTGCCAACACAGCTGATATCTTTACTAAGGCGCTGGCGCCTAAAGATTATCATCGGCACTGTTTGCAGCTTGGTCTAGTTCCTGTAGCTCCTCACTTGCTAGGACCTTGATTGTGTACTCCACTTTATATATACCTTCTTGAATGGCCTTGTGGCTTCTCTTCCAGTGGCCGGACTAGCAATGCCGCCCTGGTTTGCTCTTGTCGAGTTTGTACTATTGTTTACTGGTCTTCGGACCCTTGTCTCAGATGTTGGACTAGTAGTGCCGCCCTGAGTTGCTTGTCTCTTGCCAGGCACTGCCCCTTGTCGAGTCTAGGGGGTGTGTCAAACATATTTGTACATATGTTGCTATAGCCTAGATAGGGGTATGTCTTAGGGGTCTGTTGCTACTCTGAGAACGGCATGTCCAGAGCCAGCCCAGCCCGGAAAGCGGGTGACGGGCATGTAAAGGAAACAGTGAGCGTTTGAAATCCCACGGTTGCGAGTCAGGCACGTGCCTGTAGCCGATTTTTTTTTTAACAACCAATCAATGAGCATATTGCGAGTTCGATTCAATACCAACTTCACGTTGCATTTCGTCGCGTTTTCTGCACATGTGGCAGCACTTTGCGACTAACACTTCGGTTGCTGATCTACAGGTTGCAAAACGGCAGGATCAGGAACCAAGATCAGGAATGCTGATCCTGATCCTGGATGGTAGGAATACGCCCTAAGTTGACACTTGCCTTAACAACACACACAAGGACAATGCGGAGGGAAGGTGTGTGGGGAAGGCAGCAGTGCAGGGGGGAGGGTGCTACACGGTGCCCAGGTACTCCACTTCGAATATGAGGTCCGCCCCCGGTGGGATGCGACACGTGCCTGGTGGTACACGCGGGAAGTGGGGCGAGGGGAGAGGAGAGAGGGGGAGCGAGAGAGTGAGAGAGAGGGAGAGGGAGCGACCGAGAGGGGCCAGGGAGGACCGCCACGCCTTCTGGTTGCGAATTGGAGAGCAGACCTTGAGATACGTCAACAGCACACAGGCACTGTGTGAGTGCATGACGTCCGCGTCACCATGGGGATCAAAGGGCCCCTCTGCCCATGCTGGCCAACGCCTGAGCCTGCGCCTCTCTTGGGAGCTCTCGGGGAGTGCATGCTGGGATTCCCCTTGCCCACTATGTGCGGCAACAGATAGTCACAAGGGATTGGTGAAGCACAATCTCAGTGGGATGATGGATGCATCTGCGATACGGCAGGGAGAAGGAGCATAGAGGGAGGCAGCTCACCTCCCCTGCAGCCCGCCCCTCGGCTGCCATAGGCGAGGTCCGCTGGAATGCGCAGAGTGCGCTTGCCACCTGCCACACACGCCCGCACACACACAGCACGCCACAACGCAGCTTGAACGAGTGAAGGGAAGAGTGAGAAAAAGGAAGTGCGGCGGGGCCAAGTGACGAGGCACAGGTATTGGGGTGACCGACCTGCTTTCATGGGCGGAATGCCTGGCCCTCCCAGAATGCCCACGTCCCACCCTCGAATCACCTGATGCCACGCCGCCCTCGCACACACATGCACGCAGCCAGGGGGGGAGAGGAAGCAGTGAGGTGCGAGGGTGGTGTGCGGACACAGGGGAGAAGCGCAGCAGGGACGGAAGGTGCAAGAGCGGGCATGCAGGGCGCGGAAACCGCGGCACTGACCTGCCCCACGCCCACGCGGAACACGAGTGGGCGCCCGCGCGCGTAGCTGCTGTCGAACACAGTGCCTGACAGCAGCCGCCCCGCGTAGTGCGCCTGGCGGGCCATGGCTCCATGGGGGAGGAAGGGAAGGGAAGGGGTGTGGGGCAGCAGCAGCAGCATGTGAGAGTGCTGTCAGCAGCATCATCTTAACGCGCATTCAAGCATCACATCGCAACCACCCAGCATTGCCCACTTCTGCCCACACACCCATTTGGCTGACTGCCACAAGTGCCTCACCCGCACCCCAGCGCACACCTCTCCTCCCCTCCCCGCGCCTTCCCCCCCCCCCCACCTGGATGCGCGTGCCGGCGCTGGCCTCGTCGCCGGCGCCCTGCACCTGGTCGCAGAACTGCAGCCCCGACGGCGTCTCCTGCAGCTCGCACTCCGCCGCATGCGACGCGCCGCCCGCGCCGAGGCTCGCGGCGGAAGCCGCGGCGAGCGCGCCGATTAGCAGCGAGCGGCGGTCGCTGAGGGCCGGAGCACTGCTGGGGGAAGCTGGCGCGGGGAGATCCGCTGCTGCTGCGCGCACAGGCTGTGGCGCTCGACGGGAGACGCCGAAGGGGGCCAGAGCGGCGGGGCGGGAGAGGGGGAAGAGAGCAGTGGCGCGCATATGGGGAAGATCGGCGGGGCGGAAGCGCGCGGAGGGGGCGTCAGGGGCGATGGTGGCGGGTGGCGCGAGGAGGCACGAGGCGGCCATGGTTGGCGCTGCGGACAGCACGCTGTGCGCGCGGCAGGCGGTACGAAGGCGGGAACGAGGCGCGGGATTCGCAGTGTGCTACGGCAGCAAGCCGTGGGGGGATGCGGGGTGGGCAAGCACAGCGTGGTGCGGCTGTGCAACTCGGGAATGGTGGGTGCGGCAAGAATGGGGCTTTCGCCACCCCAACCCAAACCAGGGTGCCAAAACCCTCTGCCTCGTCTCGGAGTGTTGCCTCGTCCACTTGGCGAATTCCAAGTCCGCAGCGCTAGCACCTGCCGCCACATGCGGTAACGGGCATTCCAATGGCCCCACCGAGCCTCGTTTGCCACAGACACAGACGCACACACGGGTGGTGGCACGGCGGCCCACGACTCGCAGCGTCGTAGCACCGACGCCTCGGATCATCGCGCGCCCCGCCGCACGCCTTGTACCGCGCACCTCCTTGCCCGCGCCAACGTGCCCGATTGCCCGCGCCAACGTGCCCGATTGCCCACGCCAACGCGCGCCACTCATTATCCCGCGACCCCGCCGCCCTACGTCGCTCGCAGAATCAGCGAATGGCTGCTCGCTCGCCGCCTCGTACGCCGTGGGATGCGGGCAATGCTCCACTGCCGCCAGCAGAGGAGCCGCTTGAGTCACTCCCACCCCTCGAGTCGCCCTCGGGGCCGCACGGGGGCGGCCTCGCGGTAGCGGTGCGCGAGTCCCCGCGATGGACGGCGGCGGGCGTGGGCAACCTGGCGCTGCTGGCGGTGTGCTTCGCGCTGGGGTGGGCGGCGCTGTTCGTGCAGGTGGCGTCCACCACCGTCGCCGCCAAGCAGTGGGGCGGCACGGCGCTGAGCACCGTGCCCTATGGTGCGACGCGTGCCGCGCTCCACGCGCGAGATATAGCCGCGGTGGTTACTGCGTGCTGCGTTCAGCCTCCCCCCCTCCCCTCCGCCCACTGCTTTCCGCCCCGCCCCATCTCCTCCCATTTTCCCCTACCCCCCTCCCAGGCGTGTTAGCGGCGGCGCATGCTCTCTGGGCGCTCCCCGCGCAGCTGATCATCCGCGCAACGCACTCCGCGCGCCCCTCCTTCATTGCGGGGGGCGCGCTGGGCGTCATAGGGAACGCGCTGTTCGCGCTCGCTGCAGGCCTTGCGCACGACGCCCCCTCGCCCTCCTCCTCCGCCGCCTCCCCGCCCCCCACGCAGCCCGTCCCCATGGCGCTGCTGTGCGCGGGCGGGCTGTGCGCGGGCCTCGCCAACGCCTACATCAACTTCCTGCGCTTCGAGGCCGCGCGCTTCGCGCCCTCCGCTGCGCACCTCCCCACCGCGATCTCCGCGGTGGTGGCGGGGGGCGTGGTGGGCGGCGGCATGGGGCCCATCATCAGCCGCGTGACACGTGGCGTGATTCCAGGCCACGAGTTCCTGGCGACGTACCTGGTGTCTTGCGCGCTGTTCGCGGTGGAAACGGTGCTGGTGGCGCTCGTCCCGCTGCACGCCACCCAACGCTGCCCACCCGAGGGCGGCCCGGGCAAGATCGGCGGTGGCAGTGGTGGTGGAGGTGGTGGTGAGAGTGGTGATGGCAGTGGAAGCACAGTGCCGGACAAGGCAGGGACGGGGCTGCAGGATGGGCCTTGCAGGGATGATCACATGCGCCATGAGGCGGCGGGGGGAGCGCAGCAGGAAGGGGAGAGAGCGGTGATGGTGGGGGATGGGGATGGAGAGCAGAGTAAAGAGGGGCATGGGGGTGTTGCGGGTTGCTGCAGCTGCTCCTGCTCCAGGGGCGGAGGACCAACCAGCGGCGGAGAGAGGGTGGCTCTCGCCCGTGCATGCAGCAGAGGGGATCATGGGGAGGAGGAGGAGAGTGGGGAGGATTGCAGGGAGGAAGCAGGAATGGGGGATGCGCGCAGGGCGAGCAGCGCTGGTAAAAGCAGCTGTGGAGAGGAGGAGGAGGGAGAGGTGATGGAGGGGGGCAGGGGGGAGGGAGGGGAGGGGGGAGAGGAAGGTGATGCAGTGGTGGTGCTGGTGGGGAGTGGGAGCAGAGCAGGCGGGGCGGGAGAGCATGAGAGGAGGCGGTGGTTTGACGTGATGGGGCAGGCTGACGTGGTGGTGGCGGTGGCAGCAGCGACGGTGGCGTATGCATCGATGGCCACCGTCATGCTCACCGCTGTCATCGCCATGCTCGCCGTGCAGCCAGGTGGGGGGGGGGGGGGTGTTGGGGTGGAGAGGGGAGGTGGAGTGGAGTGGTCATGGCCACAACTGGCAGTTGCAATCACTATCTGATCTGACACGCTGTGCTGGTTATGCGCATCATGTGTGCATGTGTGCATGCATGTGTGTGTGTGTGTGTGTGTGTGTGTGTGTGTGTGTGTGTGTGTGTGTGTGTGTGTGTGTGTGTGTGTGTGTGTGTGTGTGTGTGTGTGTGTGTGTGTGTGTGTGGTGTGTGTGTGTGTGTGTGTGTGTGTGTGTGTGTGTGTGTGTGTGTGTGTGTGTGTGTGTGTGTGTGTGTGTGTGTGTGTGTGTGTGTGTGTGTGTGTGTGTGTGTGTTGTGTGTGTGTGTGTGTGTGTGTGTGTGTGTGTGTGTGTGTGTGTGTGTGTGTGTGTGTGTGTGTGTGTGTGTGTGTGTGTGTGTGTGTGTGTGTGTGTGTGTGTGTGTGTGTGTGTGTGTGTGTGTGTGTGTGTGTGTGTGTGTGTGTGTGTGTGGTGTGTGTGTGTGTGTGTGTGTGTGTGTGTGTGTGTGTGTGTGTGTGTGTGTGTGTGTGTGTGTGTGTGTGTGTGTGTGTGTGTGTGTGTGTGTGTGTGTGTGGTGTGCGTGTGTGTGTGTGTGTGTGTGTGTGTGTGTGAGAGAACACAGGCACGGGCAGTGTGGACCTGCAGGGCCAGTTGGGTGGCGTGATATCGTTTGGCGACACCAGCAACGTCATTCTCGTGCATGTCGAGGTCAGCGCCATCCCCTCGCCACCATCGCACTCACGCCTCCTCTCACTGCCTGCTCACCTGCCCATCTCTCTCGAATCTCCACGCGTCCTCCCCTTCATGAAACTCCGCCCTTGTCCCTGCCCGCACTGCCTATGCCAATCCCCCTCCTGCGTTCCCCTCCCGCTTTCTCCTATCCCCCCACCTCCGTCTCTGCGTGCGGCAGGCCATGTTTGTCCCGTCCTTCTTCACGCCGGTCATCATCGCGGCGCTGGGCAGCGATGGCGCCATGCTGCTGGGCTTCGTGCTGCTGCTCGCCTCGCAGCTCGCCCTCCTGGCCGGCACCTCGCTGCCGCTCTTCTTCCTCTGCCTTGCCCTGCTCGGCCTCGGATGGAACCTCGCCTTCGTGGGCGCCACGGCCCTCCTCGCCACCGCGTACCGCCCGCATGAAAAGGACATGGTCCGATCCTCCTGCCCTGCTCCAACCATGAGCCCTCGTCCGCCCCTTTGCCCGCCGCATGCACCCTTGCATGCACCTCATGAAGAGGGAATGCAACCACGTTGCCCTCCTTCTCACTTGTGCTTGCCTTCTCTGCCTTTCTGAGCCATGACTCCCTTGGCTGCACCCTTCTTCCCCGCCCCTCCCCACCACCCGGCCACGGCGTGACGGTCCCCCCCAGGTGCAGGGCATCAACGATGGCATTGTGTTCGGAGTGAACACCGTGCTGGCGGCCACAGCCAGCGCAGTGCTGCGCTGCTCCAACCCAACCATGCCCCCTCCTCCGCCCCTTTGCCTGCCTCATGCACCTCGGCATGCACCTTGGCATGCACCTTGGCATGCACCTTGGCATGCACCTTGGCATGCACCCTTGCATGCACCTTGGCATGCACCTTGGTATGCACCTTGGCATGCACCTTGGCATGCACCTTGGCATGCACCTTGGCATGCACCTTGGCATGCACCTTGGCATGCACCTTGGCATGCACCTTGGCATGCACCTTGGCATGCACCTTGGCATGCACCTTGGCATGCACCTTGGCATGCACCTTGGCATGCACCTTGGCATGCACCTTGGCATGCACCTTGGCATGCACCTTGGCATGCACCTTGGCATGCACCTTGGCATGCACCTTGGCATGCACCTTGGCATGCACCTTGGCATGCACCTTGGCATGCACCTTGGCATGCACCCTTGCATGCACCTTGGCATGCACCTTGGTATGCACCTTGGCATGCACCTTGGCATGCACCTTGGCATGCACCTTGGCATGCACCTTGGCATGCACCTTGGCATGCACCTTGGCATGCACCTTGGCATGCACCTTGGCATGCACCTTGGCATGCACCTTGGCATGCACCGCATGAAGAGGGATTGCAGCCACGTTGCCCTCCTCGCTTCTTCTTACCTTGTGTGCCTTTCTGAGCCATGGCTCCCTTGGCTGCACCCTTCTTCCCCACCCCTCCCCACCACCTGCCCACCGTGTGACGGTCCCCCAGGTGCAGGGCATCAACGATGGCATTGTGTTCGGAGTGAACACCGTGGTGGCGGCCACGGCGAGCGCGGTGCTGCAGCGCATAAACAGCTGGCCCACCTTCCTCCTCATCTACTCCCTTGCCTCCTCCCCTGCCCTCCTCCTCACTCTCGCCTTCTGGCTTGGCCGCCGCCACTTGTTGCCCTTCCATTGGCCGGGAGTCAGCCCCTCTGCGCCGGCACAATTGGCAGCATCAGCATCGGCGTTGCCGTCAGAGCCATGCGCACGCGGGCGTGCACGTGGTGCATGGGGAGGCAAGGGGAAGCAGCTGGTGAGGTCTCTGTCCCAACGGCTGGGGGTGAGTGGGAGGGTGGCCGGGATGAAATGGGGCTGACGGGCGCTACTGGTGAAGGCTGTGGGGGAAGGGGGCTGCAGTTGCCTTGCCAGGCTGGAAGAAAGAGTAGTGGGTGCACATTGCACAAGCTGCACCATTGGCAGAAGCATGTTGAAGCTAGGGTGTAAGGAATTTCCATTCCTTACTGAGTCGTACGCTAGCGCGTACACCCGACTATCAGAATAATTGAATAATCGTAAAGTGAGAGTACACACAAATATATCTAAGTTTTGTATCCTCTAAGAGGTGACTCTATACAGTCTATACAAACATGACAAATACACATGTTTGACACACCCCCTAGACTGCATAGGGGAATACCCTAAACAAGCAGCTCACGGCGGCACTACTAGTCCAACCTCTGAGGCAAGGGTCTGAGCGACCGGTCAGAAGGAGTACAGACAAGGCAAGCACAAGAGCAGGGCGGCACTACTAGTCCAGCCACTAGGAGAGGACACAAGTCCAGTCTGAGTATACATATAAAGGACAGTACAAAGTCAAGGTCCTAGCAAGTGAGAGGCTACAGGAACTAGACCAAGCTGTACACAGTGCCGCTGATGATCTTTAGGCGCAAGCGCCTTCGTAAAGATATCAGCTGTGTTGGCACCTGAGGCCAAGTGTACTACGCGAGCCTGACGTCGCTGCTGTAGCTCACGCAGGAGGAAGTACCGCAGCTGAATGTGCTTCGCTCTGCCCTCGAGTCGAGGCTCCTGACACAGGAGGATCATGGCCCTGTTGTCAGCGAACAGGACCGGGGCAGAGCTAGGCCGCTCACCTAAGTCAGTGAGCAAGAAGGTCAGCCAGCGGAGCTCCTGTGCCGCCATGGCACCGGCGTAGATCTCAGCCTCACAGCTGGACTGTGCAACAGACGAGGAGCGAGTAGCTCTCCACGAGACGGCACCTGAGCCAAGGCTGAAGCAGTAGCCCTGGGTAGACCGGAGTGTCTCAGCGTCGTCTGCCCACGAAGCGTCTGTGTGCCCAGTAAGGACCGCTGGCCTGCGTCCTCCTAGCACTAACCCCATGCCCGATGTACTAGCAAGATAACGCAGAACCCTCTTAGCGGCAGACCAGTGCTGAGGTCGGTGTCTGCCTGTGGCCACAAAGCGAGCCAGGATGCTGAGAGGGTATGCGAGATCTGGGCGAGTGCAAGTCATCAGGTACATGAGGCAACCCACCAGCTCTGCGTAGGGGCCACTGGGCTCTACCAACTCCTCAGGCACTGGAGCGGAGAGCCTGTGGTCTACAGGCAGAGGGGTGGGCTGTGCAGAGGAGAACTGAAGGCTGAACCTCTGAAGGACCTGGCGCACCAAGTGTGACTGAGTCAGGGTGATGGTGCGCGCAGCTCTGTCCCTGGAGATCTGCAAGCCAAGGTAACGGCGCAGTTCTCCAAGGTCAGTGCAGGTGTGTCTCTTCAGCAGCTCTGCCTTCACGGAGGCCAGCGCGTCCCTGTCTGCTGTGGCAAAGACCAGGTCGTCGACGTAAACGAGGATGTAGAACGGAGTCTGGCCAGCACGAACGAAGAGTGAAGGGTCTGCAGAAGACGGAAAGAACTGCAGGTCAGCAAGCGTAGCACGCAGAGTGTCGTGCCACTCACGGGGAGCCTGTCGCAGGCCGTAGACGGGGCGCCGCAGGAGCCACTGGGTCCCAGGAGGGAAGGTGCCAGTAAAGCCCGGAGGGCGGCGCAGGTAGACCTGCTCGTGTAGGCTGCCCTGAAGGAAGGCAGTGGAGAAGTCGAGGGAGTGAAGCTCGTAGTCACGCTGAGCAGCTAGCTGTAACAGAACCCGAAGAGTAGTCATCTTCGGGGTCGGAGCGAAAGTCTGGAAGAAGTCCACCCCCTCGCGCTGACTGAAGCCTCTAGCCACATAGCGCGCCTTGAAGACAGGCGGCTCTCCAGGAGGGCGCTTCACCTTGAAGAGCCAGCGGCCATCGACTACGTTCACCCCAGGTGGGGGAACTGCGTCGACGAAGGTGCCGGTGGATCTCCAAGATGCCATCTCCTGCTCCATGGCAGCTATCCACTGCGAGGCCCAGGGTCCCGAAGTCGCCTCAGCGTAAGTGCGAGGGGTCGGGATGTCGAAAGCGTCTGGGTCACCCTCAGGGACTAGCAGCATGGAACAGAGATGGGGAGCAGCCTCGGAGAGGAAAGCAAGCTCGAACTGGCGGTCCTCCAGGACGTCACTGCCAAGGGCAGGAGCACCCCCGACAGACGGAGGACAGGCAGGGTCAGAGACCAGAGCGGTGGCGTAGTCAAGGCGGCGGGTAGAGGCGAAGTCAGCGACAGCAGCGACAAGAGCGTCAAGGCACGAGACTGGAACAGACGGGTCGGTAACGAGAGAGGCAGGACCGAGGAACGAGAGGACGAGCGGCACGAAGGTAGTCGGACAGCGGGGGGGCGCAACAACAAGGGAGGACGGAGGAGGCGACGGCAGAAGGGGAGGACGAGACGCGTGTGAACGAAGCAACATAGGGTGGGAGCGCAGGACAGGCGAGGCAGGACGAGCACGGGACGGACGGTGAGACCAGACGTGCGATGGAGGAGTCGGGTCAGGAGACAGGGGAGGGGACACAGGAGGGGAACGAGGGGGGAGACGGGCCGGGGACGAGTCCGGCGGAGGGAAGACAGGGCCGTAGACAGGAAGAGGAGGAGACGGTCGGGGAGGAACCGACGCAGGGTCGGGGGACGGAAGGCCGAGCAGGCGAAGGGCGGACACCGGCGGGGACTGCTGCTGCGGCGGCACAACGGCGACACCTGGACCGCAAGCTGCTCCTCGGCTACCACCGGCACTCTCCACACCAGCACCCCCAGAGGGACCACCCCCAGGGCGACCGGGACGAGCACCCCCAGAGTCAGCGAACGGGGGCGGCGACTGCGACGGCGGCGGCGGCGTCGGCGACGGCGACGGCTGCAGTGGCGGAAGGGACGGCGGAGGAGGGGACTGGGAGGGGACAGCTGGGGAGGGCCGCCAGCGAGGACTGCACCGGAGGGGCCACCAGAGTCAGAAGACTCCTCAACCGGGTCCACGGACGGAAGGGGGGTGACGTGGGAGACACCAGAGGGGGCGGGACGGGGAGGAGGAGGAGGAGGGGCAGGGACTACCGGGGAAGGGGTGACCAGGAACAGGGGGGGGTAACCGGGGGACCACGGTGGGGAAGCGGCGGTAGTAGGAGACGGACTCGTCAAAGGTGACGTCACGAGAGTGAAAGAAGCGGTGAGACGGCGGGGGTAAAAGTGCCAGTCGGACGCGTCAAGGGGAAAACCGAGGAAGACGCAGGGAAGGGTGCGGGCAGTGAGCTTGTCCGTGCCGGAGGCACGGACGTGAGCAAGGCAGCCCCAGACGTGGAACGCAGACGCGTCACCAGGAGACCAAGTCCACAGACGGGTCTGCGAAACCTGCGGCTGCTGAGGGTGCGGCCACAGGTTAAGCTGGTGAGAAGCGTAGCGCACAGCGAACGGCCACAGAAAATGGGGTGCACCGGCATGGACCATGGAGGTGCGAGCGACCTCCATGACCAAGCCGATGCGTCGCTCAGCGACCCCATTCTACTGTGGGGAGTCCGGTAGGGTGAACGTCTGGGTGATGCCCTCCGCACGACAAAAGCGACCAAGGACACCTGAGGCAAACTCGCCACCACGGTCTGAGTGAAGACGCAAGACAGGGAGACCGCGGTGGACACGCGCAGAGACAAGCCAGGGGATGAGGGCGCCAGGCACGTCGGCCTTGCGCTCCAGGGGAAAGACTGTGGTGTAACGAGTGAAGTCGTCGACAAGCACAAGGAAGTAGCGCACGCGACGCGGCCCAGGGACGGGGGCGGGGCCCCAGACGTCCAGGTGCAGGGTCTGCAGCGGCGCGGCGGTAGGGGGGAACGAGGAGGAGTGAGGGGCACGGCGAAGCCGACCCTCGACACAAGGCGTGCAAGGTGGAGCTGGGGAGGAGGGAAACGCGGGGAGTGAACCTGGGAGACCAAGGACAAGACCGTGCTGGGACATGTGACGCAGACGCGGGAGCGCAGGGTGACCTAGGCGGTGGTGCCACAGGAGGGTCGGGTGAGTGAGGGAGCGACAGGAGCAGGCAGCAGCAACCTGGGTAGACACAGCCACCTGAGAGGGCGCTCCAGCCGGGGGGGCACGGTGTCCAGAGTGAACAGGCCGGACACCGGGTCCCGGGGGAACGTGGACAGGGGGCACCAGTGGCGGCCTCGGTACAGACAGCATACCGCTCGTGACCAGGGAACGTAGTGGTGACCGCCAAGGTCCTGGAGGCAGCCGACACCAACTAGGTTCCTGGAGAACGAGGGGATATGCAGACCTGTAAGAGAGCCCGAAGGAACCGCCGGACAGGGAAGGGTGGTGGAACTGCGGGCGACTACCGGACCGCCGGAGGGTCAGCAAGAGAAACGGCAGCAGGAACAGGAAGCGGCGTCAGGGTGGTGGAGTCGCGGAAGAAAACACCGAGAGCGCCAGAGTCCAAGGTGAAGGAAAGCGAAGCCGAGGGGTCTGGCGACGGAACGACGGCAGAAGCACCAAGACTACACAAAGCAGGGGATCCTACGCCTGACGCAGCAGGGGAGGCTAAGCTAGGCACACCTACACTAGGCAACAGTGAGTAATAAGTCGGAAGCACACTAGAGTCATCAGCATACATCACATGCAGAGCAGAAACAATGGCATCCATGTCCATATCAAAGATCTGAATCTGACGACTAAGCAAACTGTGCCAGTCCGGGAGGTCTGGCGACGGGCCGAAACGCTGACGAAAGAGGTCGTCCAGGCGACGAAAGCAGCGGGGAGTGGGGAGTGGAGTGACCGATCTTACCGCAAACGAAACCGCGGCGAGGACCGGTCTGGATCTGGTACTGACAACGCCCGCCGGCAGAGCCACCACGCGGCACACCACCACGCGCCCGTCCACCGCCAGCGCCGGGCCACCCT